GGTCTTGTTACTTTGCCCTTCTCTGTTATGATATCTACTACGCGTACCCGGTTGTCGGAGCCTGGGTGCAAATTGACCACTCTTCCTAATCGCCATTCATGGGGCGGTAGATTATCTTCTCTGATTACTACTAGATCTCCCACTTTCATATTTGATTTAGGATTCTTCCACTTGACCCGCTTTTGTAGTTCTGAAAGGTACTCGGTTTTCCACCTTCTGCAGAAGTTTTGATGCAAGGCCTTGAGTTTCTGCCACCGATTGACAATCGAGGCAGGATTCTCGTTAACATCTATTTCTGTTGGAGCTAACAGATGTCCGCCTACTAGAAAGTGACCTGGAGTTAAAGGCTCAAGGTCAGATGGTTCATTGGAAGCTGGGCTCAGCGGACGTGAGTTGAGACACGACTCAACTCGGCATAGTAGAGTGTTGAATTCCTCAAATGTGTACTTCATATTAGACGCGATCTTTTTAAAGTGGCTTTTAAAGCTTTTCACACCTGCCTCCCACAGACCACCCATGTGCGGAGCTGCGGCAGGTATGAAATGCCAAGTCAATGCCTGATGGGCATATTTTGATAACGTATTCGTCCGCGCGTCGGATAGAAATGCCTTTAGCTCCGCTTTTAAGGCCCGTGATGCTCCTACGAAATTTGTCCCATTATCTGAGTACACATTTTTTGGACACCCTCGTCTGGAAACGAATCTGGAAAATGCTGCTAAAAACGATTGAGTACTTAGGTCGCTTGTGGCCTCTAAATGAATGGCCTTGGTAGAAAAGCAGACAAATAGACACACATAACCCTTTGACATTCGGCAGCCTCGTCCACGATAACTCTTAATGTCGAATGGTCCAGCAAAATCCACCCCAGCATTGGTAAATGGTCGCGAAAAAGTTGTTCGCTCTTGTGGAAGAATCCCCATAAGTTGGCCTTGCGCGCGTTTTTTATAGATAGTGCAGATCTTGCAGTTATGGATTGTGGACCTTATCATCGTTTTCACCTTCGGAATCCAATACTGCGTTCGTATGAGACGCAACATTAGTTGATTCTCACCATGGAGAGAAGTTTCATGGATGAATTGGACAATCAGACGGGATAATCTACAATTGTATGGAAGTATTACTGGATGCCGTTCGTTGTACGCTAGATCCAGAGATGTACCAAGACGACCCCCCGTCCGCAGCACATCATCTTTATCCAGAAACGGATTAAGGGGAAGTATTTCACTTTTAGACTCAATGCATTCTTTAGTTTTCAGTGTCGCGATTTCTGCTCCGTAATGTTGCTTCTGAGCAAGTTTAATCAGGCG